ATTGCTGAGAAGAGCTAAGTCTATTAGAGTTGGTCATCATACCATATTGCTGTTACTATGTACAATGTGCTCCTGGTTCTGCTCACTTCACTCAGCATCAGTTCATATAAGTCTTAACAGGTTTTTCTGAAGTCCACCTGCTCATCATTTCTTATAGAACAATGATATTCCATTACATTCATATACCACAACTTGTTCAGCCATTCCCCAATTGATGGACATCACCTCAATTTCCAATTCTTTGGTACCACAGAAAAAACTGCTATAAATATTTTTGTACATGTGGGTCCTTTTCCCTTTTTATGATCTCTTTGGGATACATACCTAGTATGGTATTGCTGCATAAAAGGGCATGCACAGTTTAAAACCCTTTGGGCATAGTTCTAAATCAGTAAGTGCTTTTTGAAGGAGCTTCCAGCACCCCTGATTCCTAGGCAGAATATATGGGCAAAAGGTTATATTAACTGGACATAAGGAAAGCTATGTCCTGAAGTATGAGAGGAAAGACTTTTGAAATAGTCATGGAAAGAGTTAGGACTTTCAATTTGTCTGCCTTCATATATTATCAGTGAATTTCAGATACTGTGTTGCCTTTAAATTAGAACAAGATAGATACGCTCAAATTGGGAGGCAATCACTGACAAAGCAATCATAGGAAAAGAAATTAAATGTTTTCTTCTTTGGAAGTAGCATTTTTTCCTTAATTTTATCAATGAGCCTTTGCATTTGTCACCACCACCCTCATAAAACTACTTTTTGGGCACCTCATCATTGCCATTGGTTTCAGTGATCTCTTGCCACTGCAGTGAGCCACGGGACTTCTAGTAGAAATAGAACCAATCTGCTTTTCCCTCCTGAAAACTTTTACAAGTCAGACATTTCTTTGTTTGAAATTCAGTTCACCTCTACTTGCTCCCTTTTTCTTTTCTTTTTTCTTTTCTTTTCCTCCTTCCCTCCTTTCTTTTTTCTTTCTTTTCCTTCCTTCCTTCCTTCCTTTCTTCCTTCCTTCCTTCCTTCCTTCCTTCCTTCCTTCCTTCCTTCCTT